CTTTCTTGAAAAGCCGTACGTACCTGACGATATCCTCCTCACGAACGAACTCGTCATCAACCGCTCCAAACTCGTCACACAATTTTATTATGACATCAACCATCTTGTCAACCATTTCTCTTGGGGAAGATGCGGTCCCTTGAGGCTCCATGTCAGGTTGTGGTTTATGGGTGGTGTCAACGGGCAGGGCCTTGAACGCCACAGATACCACGGGGCTACTCGTATGCGTCCCTGAAAGAATCTGGGAAAGACTGGAAGTGACACCTGGTGTCGCCTCCGATGGAGAGTCAACTTTGTCATCTTGAGGGTTGTATCGATTCCGTAAAGAGTAGCTGGTTACTCGGGTGTCCTGCCCTGCAGCTAAGAAAGATATCACCATGCCATAGTTCATGCGAGCGTCTTGTGTTTGAGTATTAAGAGTGGACAAGATATATGGACCTGGCCAAACTCAGCCTTTCTATCGGCCGATCTTTGAGACATTCAATCACCTTTCTGGACTCCAACAATGTCTCCAAGCGCCACTCGAGTGGACTTCTTAACCTTTTCTAGGGAATAATCGTAACTCTGGGACAGTAGTCAAAATTAGCCACCGATTACGAAGGGGAAAAACGTACGACGATGTAAATCGCCTTTTGCGTCTATATTAAGATTATTTACTGTAAGCGTATTTCGGGAGCATTATTGTTAACCTACCAGAAGTAGAATCTTCTCTTCGAATCGATCTGCTAATTTGGTGTCAAATTCAATAGGAGACAGGAGTGTCCATCCAATCGTGAGCCGCTCTTCTTCGGAAATTACTATCGATGCTGTTTGCTGAACGGCTGCTTCTCGAACTTTGGACAGACGTAAGGCATCCCTTGGGTCGGAAGAAGACATATTTTGCAGGAATTCGGCAAAAACGTTGACGTTACGGTAACCCAACATGAAGTCGATAACCGATTGGGAAAACCAGTCGCTGAATGTAGATGTGTATACGCTAGTGGGCCGTTAGTTGAAAGCATCTACCGATGCGATAGATACTTTACCGTGCGAGCGAGTTGATACCATCATTAAGCATGCCGCTCAGATCTCTCTTTCCAGTCCTGGGAAGGAATCAATGGACATTTCATTGACAATAAATGATGATCTCACCGAGTAAAATCACCCTAAGAAAATCGGGTTGTAAGTCGTAATCTCATACCAGTAGACAAGGCTTACTTTCAACGCTGAGGTTCCAGCACTGTATTTGTGATTAAGAGAGGAGTAATTGCCGAGTATATGAACAGGGAATACTTACTATTCACGGCTTATTGCATCCCCATTGTTAGCCCAAACTACAACATATTGAATGACGAGTTTGGAGCGGTTGATGACGAGTTCGTTCGTGAGGAGGATATCGTCAGGTACGTACGGCTTTTCAAGAAAG